CACTAGTTACAGAGTGCTACCCTGAAGTGATACTTATAAAAATGGTGTTGAAACCCTTCCAGTCACTACACTTCAGACACTTTAAATATTTATTATAAAATGATGCTTTGAATATTTATGAATAGAATTCTAACTGGATGTTTTCCTGGATGGAACTTGGTTTTGCATTCTTTGTAATGATAACGTATAAACAAATAAAATCCACGATTATACCAAAGACAACAGCTCAATCCCTTGCTGTTTATGGGCTTCGTATTAAATATTTCTGAAATTTTTACTTCAGAAAGCACACCCAGTGAAAAATAGACAAAAATTCTTCCAACAAAAAGTACTTTTTGAACAGATTCTTATCATATAAGGATGATCATTTAATAATATTTTTTCTAAGATTCCAAGTCAAGACAAAATACTGTTACATTATTTACAATGCTGGAGCTTTAACCTTCCTTCACCCCAACCTCAGCTATAAAAGGCATCCAAAGACAACAGGAGTGGCATCCTCCCTCTAATTAAATCAGAGCTGGCTGAGACAGAGCTAAAACATTTTCTCAAAACATGAGCAAGGTTTCAGGCTGATTACCTTTCTGCTCCTGCTTTTTGTCAGTTTCACATCTTTAGGGAATGTGGGAATACATAAGTATTTGGAGACTTTCTGTCATCTGACCTCATTTGCTGATATGATTGAGGGAGCAAGAAACAGCAGCCCATCCACAATGGAGGTGACTGCTTAGATGGCACAAAAGATGTCGTAATCTCAGAGATGTTCTTACTACATCCCAGGGACACCAAGTCCATGGCCCTGTACACAGTAGGTCTGAAAAATTGTAACATTTATTTTTAAGTTGCTACCTCTTGGACTGACAAAGAATTCTGGGCTCCAATTTTTCAGTTTACTTGGTTTTGATGTAACGCATCACACAAGCTGCTGAGAGAGCATCTACCAATTACCAATTACAGAAAGAAAATAGCTAATTGCCACAATCCCACTTCTAGATTCAAAGCCAGCTCAAGAATAAGCCAGACAACAAACTGCTCTTCATCATAGCTGAGGCATATATGGAAGTACAACTCACAGTGATCCTCAGCCTTTGGTGTGATAAACTCCCCATGGTATTTGGGCACTGAAAGGCTGGGGTCAAACCAAATTAGGAGGTTTCAGAACTGTAGTTAGGGATTTGAACAGCAGCACTGCCCAAATCCCTTGTTTGAAGGTCACATCTTTCTGAATGATTCAAATATCCTTTGTGTAATATAGGCTAAAACTTCCTCTCACAATCATAAATCATATTCTTCATTTACTGGTTGCTTGCCTGAGACCACAAAGATTTTACATGGAAGTTGGAGGAAGGAGATGAAGCCTATGAGATATCAACCACAAGTTACCCATGATCAGACACTGAAACCTCGAGTCTAGATCAATCTTCTTAGTTGATGGTGGAGCACTGTAGCGATGAAAACACAGCAAAGAGAAACTAACATTTCTGAATCTGATAGTTTTTACTTAGTGGAAAAATTCAAAGATGAGCAATAAAATTTGGTTAGATGTGAATAGAAACACAGCACATTCCACTACAACAATCACAATGTATCATTATTGCTTGAATAATGCTAGGTCTGGAGAAGAAGGATCTGTGTATATGCAATTAGATTTGCATAATTGTGAGCCCAGAAAGGTCAGAATAAGATTGGACATACTTCATTCTTCTGTGCCCTCCTTTTCAATTGCTTTTACTGAAGAATCTTGTATTTTAGGTAAATATGATTACACATATGGAAGAAGGCAACCTCCCTGCAGATGCTTAAAATTGTGCATGGAGTTGCACATACAAGAAGCAAAAACAGAACTGAGGGAAGGTCCATAGCTAGATTAGTAGAAACTGAGGAGCTGGCGTCAGCCTCCTACAATGCCACAGATGTTGCTTGTACCCTGTACCTTAATCCTCATTGAAAATCAGTAAAATATTGCTTCCTTACATCCTGAGAGCCTTCAGGAAGAAGAACAATATATCCAGACACTACTGTAATGAGGCCATTTAAAGGGTATATAGATAAGAAAAATATCTGCTGCCTCCCATAACAGTCTTTCCTCTTTTCCCTATCTCCTAGGCAGCAAACCAGGTTGAGTTACAGGCAGAGCTGTTTAGCTTTATTCTAGCAAGTGCAGAACTTTCGTCACATTTTGTCTAATCAAAGATTTTATCGCTGTATCATAAGCCACACCTGGTTCCTGTATAAGGAAAGCAAATTTTCTGGCAAAGTATGTTGTCAAGCTTTGAGACCATTTGGCTCAAAATAAGTACTCCTTTCCCGCCTAGTATGCACACATTTACAAGCCTACCTGGCTTCTGCATGGCTGTAAGGAGAGGGAGAGAAAATCAGGTCAACATTTGTTTTTCCCTCTGCTCCCATTACCAGTTCAGTCTCACTTCTAGTTCCCTTGCAAGGCTTTTACATAAAGCTTCACAGGGCTGTGCTGGTAGATGCTCTCTCTTCAATTAATACAGTATATATCCTTATTTATTTAATAAACTTTCTTCCACTTTAAAACAAAAGGCCCTAGTACCATAAAAGGTGCCATGTCAATAGGTTTGAGAAAAGGTTTACAGCTCCAAATACAGAGGTCAGTAGGAGAATAAGGGTGCCTGACACCTTTGCAAATCTTTAGCAAAATTTTCTTGTGAATTTAGATTTTCACTCATGTGAAACAGCTTTTAAGTTCCACTGCTGCCATATACATTTGTAATGTGATGGTAATGTGGCATCACTCAACATTTCTTAGGTAGTGGACACTTTCCCAGCCTAATACCATTTATAACGCTACTTTTTGGTAGTGATTGCATATTACTTTGAGTATCAGTATAATTACATGAATTGAAAAAACAGCAAATTCAAAACAGAAGCTCTCTTAAGTGGAACTGCGTTGATGCTTAGGAAGGTCATCACCAGGACTGGAAATTTTCCATTCACCACACAAGGATCTGCCACTTGAGCTGCTCAAGAAGGCAATGGAGTAGCAGCTAGCAATATCAAATTATTACTTAGAAAACCAGCTCTAGTAGGGACAGAGGCATACTAGTATAGAAATCTGTTCATAGGGGATAGGAAGACTTAAGAATCACAGATTATATTCCTCTGGAAGTCAGCATGAACTAGTGAACATGATTTTCCCGACTCTTTTTTTTATCACCTTTGTTTTTTATCACCTTTGGCTTCATCCCATGCTCATTCCCTTTGCCGGTCAGTGTATAACTTTTCACGCCCATCTCAGTATTTTTCTCCATGAATATGAAGTTGCATGGTCAGCTTCATGTAATAGTACATCTAATTAACAAAGAGTTAACAGTATCTTTAAAAGAAGTGGCTGATGAATATTTTATCTCTAATAGTATGCGTTCAAATAGCACAGACATAGTAATGTTGTCATGTAGGGTAAAAAAGGCACATGTCAACTTCACCTTAAAGGTTATAAGAGACTTTGATTTCTGTCTTCTCTGACATTTCAGTGGTGATTTCTATGCTTTCAGGTCTAAGACCCAGAAGAGTTTGCAGTTTGTTCTCCTTTCTGTGTTTTTGTGTGGGACAGTACAGAACAGACTAGACAGAGGTCTTTTTCTCATAGCAGACAAGTTGAATGTTAGTTTCTCTTTGCATGAAACTTGGTACCGTCTCCTGATTTAATCTCCTATAGAGTACAAAATCTCCTATAGAGTACTCCTATAGAGTACAAAATATTGCTGATATTTTTATCTCCTATATTCTGTGTCATGCTTTGAAGTCTAATGAGATAAGCCACTCTGCACTCCCTGGGTAGCAATGTGGAACAAAGGATTTGAAGTGTTTAGGTGCTTCCCTTGCTTAGGAATTAGCTTCTTTTCTGCTAGGAAAATGTTAGTTTTAACATTCTGTTATGTTCACACTTAAGAATTTTATGGAAAAACACATGAAAAGGGATAGGAAACATTGATGCAACTAATAGCAAAAGTAAAGGTAATTAAGCTCTAAAAATCTTAGTAAGCCCTCCATGTAAATAATTTTAAATCCATATCTCCAGATTTGCTTTTCCAATAATTAATCACATTCAGATTACATCATTATTCACTATGATAAACCAGACTGGAAATTCTGGAAATATACCTTGATTTACATGAGCACTATCTATACTTCTTATAAAAGTACAGGGTATACTATGCCACACAAGAACCACAGGAATTTCGGGGGGAAGAGGAAGTGAGTTGGGTGCTAGAACAGGCTCCCCAGGGAAGTGGTCTCAACACCAAGCCTGACAGAGTTCAAGAAGCATTTGGGCAATACTCTCAGGCACATGGTGTGACTCTTGGGGATGGTCCTGTGCAGGGCCAGGAGTTGGACTTCGATGATTTTTGTGGGTCCCTTCCAACTTGGTATATTCTGTGATTCTGTGAAACTGCCAGACATGTTTGGGCAAAGCAGATGTCTTGCTGGGTCTGCTATTCATGTTATTATTAAATGGGTTATATGTAGTTCTTTAAAGAAACTGGGGATATGGGTGTCACTTAACAAAGCATAACTTACTGATATTATATATCACAGAAGAATATTTTTGTAACCCCAAAAGAAGTCTAAGGAATTTAACATGAGCAGACTGAGAAGGGACAATTAGTTAGTGGGCTGTCTGTGCAGCTCTGAAGTACTGAAGGCACTTGGCTCCAGCTAAAACCATCTGTAATATTTCCATTTGTACTCAAATTTTAACTAGAAAGAAATGTCAGAGGGGGTAGGTAGAGTGATATAAAACTTAGGGAGCCATCTAGAAGCCCCAGAAAATGTCTGGAGCCCTAGTTCTAGCACCTAGGACATGCCAGAAGAATGCAAGTGACAGGTATAGAAAACAGATAAAAAAGCAATGTTGTTAAGTACAAATAAAAATTACATTTCTATCTTATTTGCAACTTTTGTCCAAAGCTATCTCTAAAAACCTGATGTTAAGTCTTGCTAATTATGTCTTCATTTTTTTTCCACAGAGCCATTTTGACGCCAAAAACAAGATGAATCTGGATGGAATCAGCAAACACGGAATATGATAACACCAGGGTCAGCCAGGAAAAGATGGTGCGTGCAAGCCTCAGTTGTCCTGTGTGTGGCAATAGACATCCTACCCATCCTGTGGTTGGGCAGCCAGGCAAGAGCTCTGGGAAAGGCAGCGTTCTTCCTCTGAGGAATAAAGCAAAGGTAAGGCCCACAGGCCCCACCCTGCTACACTGCCACAGCCCCTTGCAGCACTGCCCTGCTGAAAAGATGTGAAGGTCTAGTTCATAGTTGAAAGACACAGCTGATGCTGGCAGGGCTAGGCTTTACAAAGTACTCTGGCTCTCCCTGAGCTGCAAATCTGAAACTTCAGTGGAAATGCTGTGAAAAATGTCTGGACTGTGGGATTTGTGTTGTGTGGTGGCTGTTCACTGTCAGGTTGGGAAAGTAAGGGTAGAAAGTTTGTTCTGCTAATCTCTCTTCTTATTCCTCCCACACATACACTGCTACCTGTCACATACAGATGAGTTTTAACAACTCTGGAAGAGCTGACCAGAATCAAACTCTCTTCACTTAGATTGTCTTGAGAACTTAATGTCTGAAGAAAACAAACAACAATAAGCAATTACTTATCTACTACGGGAAGTTGACACAATATTTTCATAAATTGGATCTACCTTTACCGGCTTCTGGAGCGACAACATTATAAGTGATTTCCGAAGCTTTTCAGTGGAACATGGGCATTTTGCCATTTATGCACAAATGAGTAAAGCGTACTCCAAAACTCAGCAAATACAAACTCCAGGTGGACTGGCCACACTTTGTGTCTTTTCTAGCCATGGAGAGCAGCCCAGACCCTTTCCAACCCAGGAAGCACAAAGCCCAGAAAGTACCACTCCATGCAACATTTTGTCCATACTAAAGGATGCCAAGCGCATCGGCTATGTGTGCATATGTAGTCACCATCCAATACTTTGGGAACATGTGGTTGTTCAAGGATCAAGTGATGAAAACTCCCTTTCTTGTCTAAATTAGCACAGCAAAGCCCCTGTGCTCCAAAGGCCTAAATAAGGCATGGACTTCCCTCCATGCAACAAATTCCAAGCTTGCTAAATGTGGCATCCTGCTATAGGAAGCTGAATCCCAAAGTGACCCAGCTTCACCTCTGGCTGGCCAGCTACCTCCCAGACAAAGTTGATCAGGGACTGTAACAGCAGGTGAGAAGAGAAAGTAAGCGTGAATAGTTATAAAATCTCTCTCCACCTCTCTTGCTCAAAAATAGTGTCATCATCCCAACCCTTGAGACACAGTTTTATTGTTCAGACAGAAAGCTCAAAAACAAATGCAAAACCAAAGCCATTTCTTGGACCAAAATGACCTAGGGCTATTGCCCACCCTAAGTCAGCCTAGCTACCTTGACAGGGAAGAGGTCTGATTTTCTTAAACCAACCTACCCATACGTTAATTTCACTGCCAGTTGGGTTCACATTCCAGCTTCCTGCAATAAATGAACAAGTATGCAGGGCAAAGATGAAAACAGGCCTTATTCTCTTCAAGTCTTGGCTCCACAGGCTTTTAGAGCCCAGCCCGTTATATCAGCCAGTGTTGAGCTTGGGCCTCACTCAGAGAACAATTGACCTTTTGTCCTCCCTCAGGGAATGTACATAACAGGGTGGGTGTGCTTAGCAATACTTTGAAGGACTGGGATGATCTTTGGATGTAGCATGATATAAAGAAACATTAGGAACAATGATAGAACCTCTGTGCTCAAAGTAGGATAACTTGCCACACCCCAGTAGAAAAATACAGAAATGTGTGCTCAGCATATCTGTGGGAATGCAACGGGACCAACTGGGATTTTATGCCACATATAGCAAGCTGCCTGTGGAACCACTGCCATTGGCAGCTGCCAAATGTTGCCAGCCATCTCACTAGTAGTGAGAGAAGCTACTAGAGTGAGCAGTGGGCTAGTGGGCAGGTAGAAAGGAGAGACACTTCAGTAGAGCCTCCCCACTCCCCTCGAGGTCAGAAGCAAGGAACTGGATTTACATCCTTTGTTTCCTTCCTCTTTTGTTCTTCTCCCATACACAGTACAGATAACTTCAGTTTGAATTCAAACAATTTTTTTCCCATGCAGGAAAGAGAGAAAAAAAATACAGCATTTTAAAATATCCCCCCCAAAGAAAACAAAACCAGTGCAATAATCAGTTATAACTCTGAGAGGAAAACTGTCAGGAACTCTCTGAAACCAGCTAACAGCTACTTCAGGCTGTCCTTTCCACTACAACTTTACACAGAAAATGCTCAGAAAGCATGGATGGGATGCAGAAGGCAGAAAGAAAAGACACCAGACTGATGAAACAAGTGGTCAGAGCTGAAACTTCACTGTTTCGGGTAAACTAATTTGCAAATTTTGTCAGGAGGTATTTGCAGAAACCAATCAGTAGTGGCAACTGGCTTTTAATGTTAAAAGACAAGGAAGACACGGATTATAGGATTTGAGGCATATAAATCTGAGTGCAAGTTCAGAATACCTGATGCAGCAGAAAGAGGGAGAGTTTCTGAGCAACTGGAAGGTACAACTGTAAAGATGTTGCAATAATCAAATAAGACAAAAGAATTAGAAAGGTGAAATAATTTAACCTAAAATAACATTTTTTAAATAACCCAAGGCTGTAAAACATAACATAAATGTCATCATTCTATGAATATAAACCTTCCTTTTACAATGTTTCTTATATGCATGTTCCTATGGAAAGAAAATTCATCAGATTACTAGCTATTCACATAATGACCTGCAGTCTGTGGTTTCAGCATCACCCTGCTTTCAATTTGAATGACTTCAGGACGATTTTGGAGTGGCAATAGTTATTTCCCCAGGATAGTTTACAGGTACCAAAGGAAAATCTGATTCCCTATAAAATCCAACTTCAAATGTCCCATTTTAAATTAAAGGACTGACTTTTACTATGCAGCACTAAAAAGAAATAAGATGTGGTTTAAGGCCACAAAATATGTTTACTAAGGTAAAACAGCAGAGCACACCACTGTGCAGTATGGTCTTGAACTGCTGATGCAACTGCTGCCCCACAACCATCTGGTTGTGAGGGAAGAAATATGCTATGGCCTTGATGAGGCAGCCAAGGTAGTAATTTCATTTCTGACTGCCAAGCAGTATACAAAAAAGCTACAATATATATAAAAAAGAGCATCCTATTCTGTATTTTCATCCTCTATTAGAAGGTGAAGGTTTTTTAATGTTGCTTAGCATTCAAAGATTTTCACAATGTGGGTTGTGGACTGTGAAAATGGAACTGGAAGATACCTTTGGGATTTCCAGCTACAGCCCCATAATGGTTAGACATGTCCTAAAAGTTGGAAAAAGCAGGACCTGCTGAGCTGGTACATTGCTCCTGCCATCCACAGAGAAGTGTTAGCATAAGCTCTGAAAGAAGCCATTAAGTGGCCTCCTCTGGTAGAGGAGAGCTGCCAAGGGATATATATTTTTGGGTCCTGATAGTGACCATGATGTACCACTTGCGGATGAAATACAGAGCAGTCCTCAGTTCATGTATTTGCTGGAAATGATGGCTCTATACCTTACCTGTTTGATTCAGTGCTCTTGTGTAGAAGGTGGAGTGATGCAAGGTTGACTGGCAGCATGATGTAGCCAGGCCCTGCAAGTAAGGCTGGGAATTAGCTGAAGAGCAGGAGACAAAGCTTTCACAGGCTCACAGTACGTGTTCAAGTCTGTGCTACCATTCTGGTGTCTTCACCTACCTCAACAGTTGTCCACCTCCTATGTAAGAGGCTGCTGACAGGAAGGACTGCAGATTTCCAAGGACAACTGCAAAATGAGAGCAATTGAATGGTGAAGAGATAGATATGGCAGCCTAAAGTTTCTAGTCTCAGCCATTGCAACAGCTCTTGTAGAAAAGGCTTAAAAGCTTAATCTCACTAAAAAAAAAGGACAACAGTGCTTATTTCTTAAGAGTGTTTTACCAAATGCAAGTCTGGACAGGGATGGAAAATGAAGACTAAGTATTGCATTAATAATGATTAAGCCTGATGCCAATCCTGCTTATATTTCACAATCAGCATAGCTTCTGAGTTGAAACTCTGTGGCTTACTGGCTTTTAAACATCTGTTTTTCTTAAATCTTACTTTCATTATGTCCTTCATTATAGAGCCTAGACTTAATGTATCCTTTATTTCTGTATCCTTTATTTCTCTATTCATTTATCAAAACTTTTAGAGATTATAGTTATATTTGATAGAGAAAAATATCATTAGGGTCCAAGGGAGATCTTCAGTCAGTGGTTGAATCTGAAGTTATCTGGCAGCATTAAGTAAGAAGCTTTTGGTATGAGGTTGAGTCTGAAGCAGAAACAGAATTAGACATTGACATCAAACTTTCCATAAAAGAGAAATCTCAGTAGGGGAAAGAACTTAGCCCTTTAAGATGGAAAGTTTTAATAGGAATGACACAAATAGATATTCAATGAATTGCTCGCATTGTAGGAGGGCAGGTGAATGACAGACAAGAAGTGTTGAGGTATTGTTTTCCCTCCTGCCTCACTTGGCAAGGCCTTTTTTACTATGGAGCTGCTTCTCTCCTTGCAAATACAACTTCTTCATCATAGATTAGTCATAAGGGGAGAAGTGAAATTCAAGTAGAGCATGCCAGCACACCTGAAATAGCAATGAAATGTAGGCATCAAAAACACAGTAAATATCAACTGAGCCTTTTCATTATGATGTAGGGACACTTCAAGAATCTCTGGGTAAAATAATTAGTTCAGTTTGTCCACATGTAATAACTGCGTCATGCAATTCATCAGTATTTTAATCAGGTATCTTCAGTTGTATGGGAGTTGGGGTATGCACCTTTTAAAACAGAAACAATCTGAGCCCAAAGGCTGTCTCTGGGACTGAGCCCTCCTGCAGAGAGCAGATGCAAATTGGTCAAAAACTTTTCACCCCCAGCTTAGTGATGGAGGGAGGGTGTTTATTGACTAACTATGCTCATTGTTATGAAAACAGAGATGGAAGGACTGTTTGCACCACAGCTTGGAACTCCACAAATGAAAGCTCTTCCAGGCACTGATCAACCCACATTTTAAGAGGTAATTATCTTTGCTACAGTCATGAGCTTTTACCATGTTTTGGTCTCTCTCATTACAGTTATAAACAGAATTTCCCACATACAAATATATAGGAGTCAACAAAACCAGGGCACGGGCCAAAGGCTTACCAATGGTCTGACTGCACTGCTCCCTCAGAAGGAAACCTTTCAGCCCCTAGAGAAGTTACCTCCACCCCTGATCTGTCAATACGATGTTAATATACAAAATTCTCTGAATTTGCTTATGTTTATTTAAAATGGAGACAGGGTTCTATGTTTGAGGTGTGGAGTATTAAAGAGTGCAACCTGCTTGCTGCTGTCCCACAGGGACCTAGAGTGTTCTTGGGGTCTCTTGGGGATGAAGAGCATCTTTGCAGAGCATCTTGTCAGTATGGCTTTCATCTCTCCAATGACATGGGGCACAGCCTCAGCTCACCGTGATGGAACTGTTCTCTGCCTTTCTGGAAACCCTGTCACATCAGAAAAGAGGAAAAAGAAGAAGAAGAAGAGGTTTTATCACGGGAAAGGAAACCTGCAGTGGTCTGCCCCAGCCTAGGGAGCTCCTTCAATATAACCCAGGAGCTTTTGAAACTCTTTTGCATCTTCCCTAAAGGAAGAAGTTGAAATCATAATACTGCCCATTAGGGTGATTAAATCATGTCCATAGAACCAATGGCATTTATGATGGATGTATGTGAGAGACATGAAATTTAGAAGAGCATCTTTTATCTGGATGAACAGCATTTGGAACAAACCAATGCACTTCATCAGAGAATTTGTTGTATGAAGTAATGTATGGGGATTTCTGTGCTTTCACCCTGGAGCATGGGCAATCCCATTGTCTGCTGCCTCTCATTCTTCATGCTAAAATAATGGTTTCAAGACTCAGCAGAGACAGATAGTTTCTATATAGTGGTCTATTTGTTTCAGTTGCTGAGAATTTATGCAACCTATGATTAATACCTGCTTACCACAGCAGTGTGTCTAATCTTTCCTATCTTACAGTAATACTTTTTCAGAGGTTATGTCTAAACCAAAAATCAAAAGTTGATATTCAGGAGGAAGCTGAGTCTCAAGGAACTTACTCTGAGCATCCTCTGGCCAGCTGGCCCATGCCTTCCTGCTCCTTCATTCTCTTCCTTCTCTCCAAGGAGCTCTAGTTGCTAACCTTTTCTCATAAGCCTGTCCCCCACTCCTGCTTGACTTTCCCTCTACCTTCATTCATTATATCTTGCAGATTTATGTGAGTAGACACCTTATCTGAAAACTTACTTTACACAAAAAGGAATGACAGCTGGAATTATGGAAATCCAATATACTGGTCTGAAACACTAATGGTTAAAGACCAGCTATCGCTGGCAAAACCCTAAAACTAATCCAGCTGCTCACTGAAGCATAAACATATGCAGTCCAAACACCTCCAAAATAAGTAAGAACTATTTCTTCACCCGCATGAGATTCAATGCAGCCACTGAAGGATAGTTTTAGAATTAGAAATTTCCTGTTGGAGAAAAGGTTTGTCATCCACAGAACCTAAGGCATGACACAGACTCAGAATAAGGTCTTCTCATTTTATACAAGAAAAAACAGGCAAGAGGTGTTGCATGATGGTCTCCAGGGTGAAGCCAGGGACAGCAGCAGGGAGTCTAGCACCATAGTCTGGTCTCTCACTGACCTCGGGCAGACAGACTCTCACTAGGAAATCCCAGCAGTGACCATATCATACTGTCCAAGCTAAATGAACCACTCTGGCCCTGATGATACACATTTCATCTTGGTGAAAGCAAGCACTTGTAAATCTAAATGCATCTAAAAGAAATCCATATAAATATATCTTTATTTTCCATCTGTACAAACTACACTGGACATGTCACAGAATCATAGAATCATAGAGTGGTTTGGTTTGGAAGGGTCCTTAAAGATCATCAAATACCAATCCCCTGCCATAAGCAGGGGTACCTTTCACTAGATCAGGTTGCCCAAAGTCCTTTCCAGCCCAGCCCTGAACACCCCCAGGGATGGGGCAGCCACAACCCCTCCAGGCAACCTGTGCCAGTTCCTCACCATTTCCACAGCAAAGAATCTGATCTAAACCTACCATTTTTCAGTTTGAAGCCATTCCCCCTTGTGCTAACACTGCATGCCTTTGTAAAAGTCCCTTTCCAGTTCCCTTGTAGGTGCCCTTTAGATACGGAAAGGCTGCTGTAAAGTCTGCCCTCTTCTCCAGTCTGAACAACCCCAACTCTCTTCACCTTGGTGCTCCAGTCCTCTGGTCATCTTCGTGGCTGTATATATATATATATATATATATGTATATATATATATATATACTGTATTAATTGATACATTCTTGGTCTTTTCTCCTGCCAGTTGTGCTGTCACTTGTTATGACCTAGGGTCCTTCCGTAAAATTTTGGTCATTCTGGCAACTTAATTGTTATGGCAACTGTCTTGCCATGAATAGTTCAATTTCATTAATATTTACTAACAGAAATGCAATTTCTCGCTCTCACTGAAGTAGAGTCCCAGCGCCCCAGAGTAGCACAGTCTTCCTTCACACATAGGGGATTTCTTTTTTTCTGAAATTGCTTATACACTTTATTTCCCTCATATCACTAAACCTCCTTACTGTAGATATTTTTAACCAAGTTTATACCACATGCCTCATAATCTAGAAATATTAGCTCTATTTTATTTCCTGCACTTGCATTGTAGATAGGATTTTTGGGGGTGGGGCTGTGAATATCAAATTCACCTGGAAAACGTAACTATTTATTTAGTTCCTTGTTAGTTTGACTCCTACCACAAACACATCCTCCGTTCCTTCCTTGGTTTTTTTTGTTTGTTCTTTTTTTTTAAGATGTTGGTGGGTTTTCTTCTTATACTACTGTCTCCCTAAAATAATTTAAAACCATAATGTGCTAGCTCAGCTCTATTACAAATATAGCTCAGAGCACTCTGCTTCAGGAGAGCCAGCAAGCAAACACAGAGGCTGCAGATGGAAGTGGTAAGAATGATCAGAGGACCAGAAAACAGGATTTATGAGAAAGGCTGAATGAAGAGATGTTCAGTGCACAGAGAAAGAGTCTGAGGGAACAAGATGGTATTTGAGCATGTAGAAAAAAAGATGTTTCAGAGGAAGGGTAAAACCATTTTTTCTGTATGCATAGAACAGAGAAAGCAAGAATGAATGGGTTTAATTGTAGAAAGGGAATTCAAACTGAATATGAGAAGAAAGCCCTAATGAAAAACTATGAAATACAGTGAAGCACTGGTTTTATTACCACATGAACTCTGGGACCTCCACCGCTAGACAACTTCAAAAACAGATATTTTGGCAAATACCCATGAGTCATGGCAGAAATGCAGTTGATTCTTCCTCAAAGTAGGGGTGAGTGATCTTCTGAGTGTCTTTTCCCATGATTTGGTCTTCTGTCACATCACTTAAAACACAATGTGAAACGTCATCCATTATGGAAAAAATTGAGATGGCAAATTAATTCTGAAAATTGGATCATTCCTACAAAGAGACATGATAGCCAGCAAATAGCAGCATCAATATACTTACTAATCATAAACCTTAATGACTTGAATCAGAAGTGAATGATTCTATGAAATAAAAACGTATAGTACTGTCTATTACTCAGTTGTTAAAAGGGATTGCAAAACTAAAACATTCAGATAAAACACATTTTACAATGAATTTAGCAAATTGAAGTGGAATAATTTATCATATTCACTGCATGATAATGTGTAACGTGCCTTACATTAAAAATGCCAGAAATGTGTCAAGCTCGCAGCATCAGGAAAACTTCCAAAATGCACTTACAGAGACAGTTGGATAAGAATAAGACAGTGCCCAATTTTATCCCTTTATATTTTCATTTCAGTAAAGACCATCAGTTATACATCTGACAAGGCGGAGGGGTATCCCTTTTCAGACGGCAGTGGGTGAGAGACACATGGTGCACACAGGACCTCTGTGATCCCCACCACCCTGTAGCAACCCTGCCTTCAGTAATGCCACATGAGGCTTCAGGGCTCTTTTTCTGCATCATATTGGAAAAGTGAAGGTCTGGCCTAAGTTTATAAAAAGCTGTGAATTTAACCTCCCAGACGTTTAAAAACTTTGGTGTCTTAATGGAAAACTATTACCACAATGACACTGGAAATTTCAATACTTTGGAACTGAATCTGCCCAGCACACAAATAAGCAGCTTGTCATTAAATTGATTGCAGATTCGACCTGTGGTCTGAGAATTAGTTTTCTTCTGTAAACTCATAAGCACCAAGATGACAAATTTTGTCCGTTCAGATCCGTTGACATCTTTCAGGGCTATAGACAACTGAAAATTAGGACCTATGTGAACAGGCTCTGGAATTGCATAAGTCTGAACAAAATGGAAAAGCTTTACATAAATAAGTTTCTTTTCAAGATATCAGTGAAGTAATAGATTACTTAGTCTTTGTCACTAAAATAAAATCCAACTGAATTCTTACAGGGAGGACATTACAGATAAAAATAATTTCACAGTCACTTTTCAGACTAAAACGGCAGTTGAGATGGAAGTACACACATTATATTAATAGTAAAAGAAAGCTGGAAGAGAAGTGAGAGAGGTTTCAGAAGAATGTTAGTTATAGAAAGAAAGAGAAACTTCAGGTTTCCCTAATGGTGAAAGGAAAAACATCATCTTTCCTTTAGAAGCTTTGTAAAACACAGGTACAACAAAAGGAAAGGAAGGTGGATCATTATTTTAAGCTGCAATCAAGTAGTGGAATGGGCACAGAGGACAGCAGCAGGGCAGCTACTGGATCACAGACTCATGGCTATGATCAGCCGACGCAGCCCAAGATCAAGAAAACATCCACAGCCACAGGGCTATAGCCCAAGCCAATCTTGGCAGCAGGAGATCAGGTGCATTTTCCTTCCTAAGCTCTATGTGAACCTGGAGTACTACAACAATACCTTTCAGATTTCTTAAGACTGTTGTGGAAACTCCTAACATTGCAGGCACTTTCATAAAACCTAGTTCCCCAGCTTCATTTCAGCCTTCCTCTGGGTTTTGGGTCCACTGGGAGCTGGAAAAGGAATGTGGCTTCCCTCACTAAATTACACTGACATATCCTATCTGCTTCTTCTCACAGGGTGATGAAAGGTGCCTTTCAGCCTTGCCATCCAACTCTAAACAGTCCTTCTGCCAGGCAGCCAAATGGACACCACTTTTCTTACACATGTAAAACTGAAACGAAGTTCAGGCAGATATAGGCACAGTGCCACCCTAGACCCTAAATGTCCAGTCCCACTATGGATCACCCTTTCTTCCCAATATCATCAGACCTTGAACTGCCAACAGAAAAAGATAACCATGTCATATGCTGTTTTGCCAAAAGGTCAGCATGTGACAGAATCTTATTTTGCTACCAAAATTCAGTGAGGAATTACAGCAAAAAATTTCTATCTAACTCTCCTTTCACAGAGTCATATGGCAAACAGATATTTATGCCTGGTGGTCTAAGGGGACTACACTGTGTTTCTCATTGGGCTGTTGTAGTGGGCAGCTGGTTCCCACCAGTCTGGGAATTCTTGTTTTACCCAATGGCTGGTAAATTACTCAAGTGAGACCTGTTGTTGGTGTTTATCACCAAAGACCTTGAAAAACAAGAAAAACTCATTTGTTTGCTCTTTATTAGGCATTCTGGTATGTCCTTTCATTAGTTCTCGAAGACTGGAAATACAGGAGAAAATTGGTGAAGGAAGAACAAGAGAAAATGCCTCTATTGACTGTTTCCCTGTAGGCTTGTTAGAGGAGCAACACATTAGAGGTGATACCTTTCTTAAAATCAAATATTTCCATTGTGCAGCAGATGTACGAGGTTTTATCGTTCTTTCTGCTGCACCAAGCTGGATTCAGAGAAATATACTCTGTGAGAGTGTGCATCAAATGAACTTAGCTGGGAGATGCCCAACTTCCCAGACAGGGTAAAGGTCTGGGAACAGAGCAGAGCAGCACAGCTCTGGTGTACACTGTCCAACAGCCTGTGGAGACCCTGAGTGGGGTATCTAAATCCCAGATGTAGTTCATCTATTTGGTTATTCTTTTGTGAAACACAGCAAGAAGGATCCACTGCAGAAGGTTACAGAACGAACCTGGATGAAGATACAACTCATAAATACTCTGGATTTCTGGTCTGCTTTTAATTATTTTATCTAGCTTTCTCTCTTCTTTGTATGGAAACTGTTCATAATATTTATGAAATATCTTGTTCCCTGAAAAATTGGTTTAATTAGAACCAGTCCAATTTCCAAATCTGAGTTGAGTATGTTTGGCCAAAATGATGGATGAAGTCCAAAGAATAGAAAAAAGAAAATATTCTTCCCATCCATTAAGTCTTCCATCTGGATTTGGGAAGCATGTTTCAAATCCATCCTATTGTCTCCTCCAGATCAGACTGCATGTAGGATGATCTAAAGGAAGTTCATTTCAGTATGAACTGGTCAAGATGCTTCCTCTAAAATGGGACTGTTTTGGCAGAAGTGAGGCTCCATAGCACACTGGTTACTGGCATGACAAAGATCCACTCTGTATCTCTGTCTCTAATCAGGAACAATAAGGGTGAACTTATCTCACATGTTATCAGTGTGTCCTGGTCTTACGTGTATCACCCATAAGGTCACCTTCTGAAGCTTCTTTGAAACTATTTGCTAAATTTCTGCTGTTTCCAAACTGTCAGTTGTTTTGGGGTTTGATTTCCATCACTCCCCAACACTTCTAGCTTAGAAGCCATCAGCCCCACAAGCTGACTTTTCCACATGGGCGCTCATATATATTGTTTCTCTGATGAATAAGAACCATCTACTGCAGTACAGTGTGAATGTACAACTTTCAGGTCCTGGATTAATGCTGACTTTTATATCAATGTTTTTTCTCTCTCCTTAGGATCTACAGCTTTTATCTTCTGGCCAGAGTAAGCTCAGGAAAAAAAAAATCATATTTTCCTGTCTTATCTGTTACTTTACTTTCCATTAAAGTGTTGGAGCAAGTCACTGCCTGTAAATATTGGTATATACTGTATGTGTTTTTTTAGGGGCATTCACAGCATAACCCTCAAAGTAGCTTTGCTGACAAAACATAAATCGATAATAACCTCTAACTTTTCCCAGTTTTAATTTTTCAGATTCTACTTAATCCTCTGTTCTGCTGCACCCTATTTCTGCAACATCTACAGATCCCTAAATATTTATTCTTCCTCTGGCAGTCCTTCTACCCTCTGGCACCAAGTGCAAAGGTAGTGGGGATGCTGTGAAACACCCTGTTAGACTTACTGATGTGACAGTGTGAGCTCACTGTGACACTGAATGCAGGCATGGGACAGAGCACAGTGTCCATGCTGACTAGAGGCACAAAGCCACGTCTGGCATTTGTCCTGATATCAAGCCAGCAGGCACTTCCACGTAGCCCCCCAGGGAGGATACACCAGGGTGAATTCTGAGGAATGCCCTAAGCAGGAGCAGCCCTTCAGCTACCAGCACACGACCTGCCTCCCTGGGCATCCTGTTCCAAATTTACCACAAATTATGACAAAAATCGGCATTAGAAAATTATGATTAAAATGGGGAATATGTATCTCCCAAGTTATTAAAAATTACTCTCAGCAATTAATAGTATGTCAGCAATCAATAATAGCAACAATCAATGTTTATGGAATGAAAAGTATGTGCAACACAGGAAGTCGTCAGAGAGAGAACAGTTGCATTTTGGATAAAATATAAGTCATTTTTATATCATAGAGACATCAGAGTACATAGGACATCACCACTTTGAGCAGCCAATAGATGTTGTTAATTTCTGGTTTTCACCTGCAGCAGCCAATAGATTATAATGTTTTCTGTTCCTTTAAACCAATTTTTATGTTCACAGACTGTTATCCTCTCCTTGAAGATAGAAGAACCTATGGCATCTACCAGTTCACACTTTCTCAGGATGTTTCCCCTTTTTTCCAGACTATTTTTTTACCTTTTCAGATAAAAAATTGCTGTTTCAGTTCCTTGATTTTGCAGTTATCAATGGCATCTCTGGATGTTTCCAATTTCTAGGTATTCAGTACTTCAAAGATGCCAGCTGAGCACTTCTTGAGGAGGCTTCTGGTTCACAGGCCTGGTTCCCAGGCTGGCAAGCATTTCTTCTGAGAGCATTTTTCCAGAAGATGTTTTCTTCTGCTAAGTACTTGTCTCCTTCTAACCAGACCACCGTTATGGCTGTTCCCATCACCTCACAAATCAGTGTCACTCTTCTGTGGCCATCATGTTAAGTCTGCAAGCTGCTAGCCTTGTCCAAGGAAGGAAAAATAGTTATTTTGGCAATTGGCTTGCCTATAGGTGTGAAAGGGTGTTCCTTCAATTTGATTTTGCTGTAAGCCATAAAAAAAAAAAAATTAAGCAGGAGCTAGCTTGGAGCAGAGAAAAATACTGTGAGGATTTCTGGGAGGATCTGAATGCTAAAACCTGTCTGTGCACAAGTTGCAAAAACAGATGACCTGAGATTTGTTTTTTGGTTGGGGTTTTTCCTCCATCAGAATGTAAGTTCTGAAAAATTTTTGCTTTATATTCCAGCCAAAGAGCTACATGGGAAGAAAATTACAGAAAATATTTTTTGCCTACATTTACCAGTTATCCCTTTTCGAAAAGAATCTGTTATTTTCTTAAATATGACTTTTTGTGAAAATGGAAAAAAACCCCAAACAACTCAAAACCTAAAAGCAGAAACCCCAGGCTAACCTCTTTTGCATGATATGAAAATGGAAAGTAACACTCCCGGCTCAGGCATGCTTCTGTCTTCTAAAGGGAAGGAGGTGGGATTGTGTCACTCTTCATTTTGCCATTGCAGAAGATCTAGACACAAACAGAAATGGTGCAAATTTTAAAGACATCTTGATCTTGCTTCTACCTGAAAATTACCAAAAGGTAGGATATGGAAAGTTAAAAAAATATCACTATCTTAAAAAATGCTACATTTCATTTCCACTAGGCAGATTGTTAGATGACAAAAGAACAGCATTTGATGACAAATCAACAACATGGAGGTAGGAAGGCCAAGGCTGTGCAGTGGTCAGCTAATTCCCTCCCATGCTGTGTCAAACATCTGAGAAAAAATACTGCAGCATGAAGAAATAGTAAATCTACTTCTGCTTCTCATTCTGAAAATATTCTCAGTGCTCCGGTTCTGATGGTTGTCAGCTGGATGATGCTACTGGATAATTGAATTTAGAGCTTTCGAAAAAAATAAAATCTATTTAGGGACAGTAGGATTCCTGTTCAGAAAGCAAACAAACCAACAGTTATATAAACAGCAGGATGCCTTGTAAGAGACCTTCCAGTGATGACCCTCTGGACTGAGGTGAGGCTGAGGGCAGGTTTGTGTGCATGGGGTAATAGACATTAGGCCAGGAATGAAGCAGCACTTTGTCCTGCAGAACTGGCTCATGTCTGGCACCATGTCTTCCAGTTCACTTTCTGAAACACCTCACACTTGCTGGGTGTGATGCCAGTCAGACTTCCATACCTGGAAGTGTTCAAAAAACAAGTAGAGATGGCACTTTGCGATATGGTTTAGTTGACATGGTGGTATTTGGTTAAAGGTTGGATTTGATCTTGTATGTCTTTTCCAACCCTAATGATTCTGTGTTTCTCTGATCTGTAATAAAGCAGAGAATTTTAAAGAGTAAAGCCTCCATGTGCTTATGTATTACACAATCCTACAAACCCATACCTGCAGGCTGGGTAGCCCTTCAGGTCATGACACGAGGGGGAGAAAAGGCAAATTCCTCAGAGAACTCTGAGCCAGACAAGTGGATGCACCGGTGAGGTTGGCATCGGTGATGCTGCAGCACCGTGGCCAAGAGGTGAGCTGGGTGAGCCGAGAAGCAAACATGGAAATTGGAAGCACATACACATATGGAGAAACTATAAGCAAATCAAAATGAGACAAAATATGCAGTATTTCTGCCTTTGTGAAATAACTAAACTTGATTAATTTTGCAGATTATATTGGGAAAATTGGTGAATGCTGCTAGGAAAAGATGGCTGGACTCAGTGCTTTACTCTGCTACATACGTGTATTTCATGAAAAGAAAAACAGTTATTTCCATTTGGATTTAACTCTCCTTTTGCTTCTCTTAAACCACTTCAGGTACAAAAGCAATTTATTTACAATGTCAATTTGTTTTTAGTTCTCAAACCAGTTTTACTGCTCACCTGGTAGTTGTTTACAGAGGCAGTTGCTAGGAAATAGAAAATGAAGTCTTCATCTCAGCATATGAAAAACTAAATCTGCTACCTTGCTGCTGCCTTTGGAAGTCTATAGCGAAGACAAGCATAGTGGATCGGAGAAAATGAGCTTTAGGACATTTGAGCAAGAGCATTGCTATGATCGGATGGAGATAAAAAGATTCTTTCACTGTCCTCCTTCTCTCAACAAAGGTGGAAAAAGGTTTCAACCAGAGCTGCTTGGAAAGGTGCTTTGTTTCTCCTAAGTACTCTTTTTATCTCTTTAAACAAAAATCTGGACCTGAAATTTTGCCATTTGCCAGTGCCAAAGCTGCTTGCATAGCTCAAATATGTTGTTGTGGAGGGTCTCTGCTGTTTGCTCCTGGAGCCAGGTTCTTCCCCCAAGCACTCGCTCTTCTTTGCAGAGATGCCAGAGCAGAACCTTTGCCACAGTGCATTTCAGGAGATACCATCATTCGGAGGCTTGGTGAGGACAGCAGAGGCATGAGACAGCCAAGCATTGACTCCCACAAGCCATTGGCAACAGCGCCAAATGAATTTTTTTCCACACATCTGGCCAAAATGTTTTGGCTTTTGCTGCTTAGTCTTTAGAGGGAAGAGAAAAAATTATAAATTTTCCATCCAAAGCAAGTGCTATCTTGTGAAAAGAAAACTCCAAATAGAACTTCAAGAGAGTTTTGATAGAGATTTTCCGACCAGTGGTCTGCTAGAATGTAGGGTACAGAGACAAATGGTTGCACAGGCAGTGTCCCCTCCTGCCCTGGCAGATAAATGGAAGGGTGAGTTGGAGGTCCTCGGAAATCTCCATAGCTCCACACCATAGCTTGTGGGGGCCTGATTCCCTTTATTTTAGAAGACATGCAGCACTCTTAGCAAAGAAATGGTGCCTGAGATCTGGAGAGCTAAAGGGGATCCTGATATCAGGAGTTTCTTCCTGAAAAATCAAATGTTGACATTCAAGCCATTTATTTTCTTCTTTCTTGTGTGTCTTCTTTCTTATTGTGGTTCCAATTCAGCAACAATATTCTACTCACTGCAATTTATGGATAAACTTGCCCTTGCTAAGAAGGAAACATCTGCAGCAGTGATATATGCCCATGTTGGTCATTTTATTGCTTTTCCAGTGTGCACCGTTTGCAAAAAAAGGTGGTCCCTCAGCATTTTTTTCTCCCACTTTAATATCTGCAATATCTTGGTTTTGTCTTCTCTCTTTCATGTGCATTAACTTGAGAAATAAGCAATCACTGTTACTTAAATCCAGATAAAAAAGAATACATCATAATTACCATCTGTGCAGCTTCCTAGGGTGGTCTCTCCACCATGCTCCCCTAATCTAATAAAACTAAAAGTGAGCAAGATCTTATTATTATTAACCACTGGCCACCATATTTTTTTCATAATGGCCAATAAAACATCAATGAAAAAGAAGGCGATATTTTTTCTTTTTATAGTGTGTGGAGGTAACTCACAAGGAACCCCAATACATGTATCTTTGCCTATGTAACCATTCAGGTGCCTCTTGTTCACCCCCACTGCAAAATCTCAGCACTGAATTGGTTTCAGAGAAAATTTTTGATGGCCAAAGAGCCTCTCCTCATGGTCTTGCCCCAGGCAAATTTAGAACACTCCTTCTCAAAGCTTTAATTCAGCTTTCTTTGTTAAATGTTTTTTTTAAAGGAAGACTGAGCTCCTGCTGCAAGTTTCCTAGGTATCATGTACAGTATAATTTCCTTGACTTTTTTTTTATTATTATTATGAAACTTACTAAACAACAATACTTTGAAAAAGAAAACAGTATCTGATGTGGTACTGCATAGTATGCATTCAGGCTGAAAGGGAAATAATATATAACAAAGTATTTCCGAAGAGGAAAGTACTCTTAAAAAATAATTTTTGTGCTAGAGGAACATTAAACAACTCTAAAGAGATTAAAAACAACATATGGTATTTTTTCCTTTCTCCCCTCAATACTAGGACAGCCAAACACGTAATTTATCTTCTTATGATCTGTCATCAGTGAGTGCCAGTTACCATTGTTCAGTTGCCATCACACAGCTCCTTAACAGATTGCAGTATAGCTACAATTAATTAGGAGGAGAGCTTGCTGCTGGCACTGCTGCCCCAGGTCTCCAACTCTCCTGGGGAGCATATGGTCACTCCTAACAGGGAGCTCTTGTCTGGCAAAGGCCAGCAAGCTCTCTAGGATCCTTAACCCAGGTTTTTCCAGAGATTCATTGCATTTAGTACCATGTAATGACAAAACCTGAGCATCAAGAAGGGTGTGGGACAAGCCTTTGAGTACAGGAGAGAGCTGCAAGTGGTGAAATTAACGAAATACAAGAGCTCACCAAGTCTTTTAACTGTCATCTAAATGCACAGCTGTCATAGAAACATTCAAGTATCTCACTGGAGCCTGAGCAAGTATCTCACTGGAGCAAGTATCACCCTGAAGCCATCCAACTCCTCCCTGGGCAACATGAGATCTATAGGCCTTGAGGGGGACCCGGCATGGCACCAGCATATCTGCAGGCTTTGTGCTGCTGAACTTCCCTTCTGACTCCTGTCTATCAGATAAATCTCATTAAAGGAAGTTAAAAATAGAATAACATTATTTTTCCATTTGCTTGGACTAGAGAGTGGGAGGGCTGCGCTGGGGATCAGAAGAAGTAGTCCTGCATATGTGTCTGCAAAGCTGAGGAGGTATGTCCTCCAAGACTGTTTTTTATTAAACTGCGCCTCAGTGAAAATGTTGGTGAACTCCACTCTAATCCCAGTAAAGGTTTTTAGCTTCTGCTGACTTATATGATCAGGAAAAGTACATCTTTTTCAGACTACTAGTGA